TCTTTCTCTTTCCCCTCTCACCATTAGAATGGAAATTCTGTGAGGGCAGAAATTTCACTCATTCATTCATTTAAGAAATATTTGTCTTGTGTGGGTCAAAACATCATTGTCTAGAAAAGGCTTTGATTAAATGCCATGTCCTGAACACCCTGTGTCCTACTATAATATGCTGTGTGAGAAGAGATCAGGGTCTGAACTAGAGTATTTTCAGCGGACGTGGAGAGGATTGTGAGGTTGTGAGATACGTTGTGGAAATAGCCTTGACATGATTACCAATTAGACGTATGGAATGAGGGAGAAAGAAGAATGAAAGATAGTAACAAAGTTTCTAGCTAACCTAGGAGACTGGGAGAATAGTTACACCATTAAAAGAAAAAGGGGTTCTTCAGTTGTCTGTAAGGTGCTTGGTTCTTCTTTGGAAGCTAAGGCCGCGTTGGGGCGACTAGCACCACTACAAACAAGTCTCTCCTCATCCTTCTGCTAAGCCCGCTTGCACCTACTCCGTCCTCATTAAAGCAGCAGGTGTAAATGTTGAACCATTCTGGCCAGTATTATTTGCAATGGCCCTGTCCAATGTCAACATTGCAAGTCTCACCTGCAATGTAGGAGTTGGTGGACCTGCCCCAGCAGCTGGTGGTGCTGCCCCTGCTGGAGGGGCAGCTCCTGCTAGGACAGCTGCCCCAGCTGAGGAGAAGAAGGAAGAGGAAGCAAAAAAAGAAGAATCCGAGGAGTCTGGTGATGACATGGGCTTTGGTTTGTTTGACTAAATATTTGCTTAACTCAAAAAAAAAAAGAAATAGGGAAGCGACAGGTTTTGAGGGTATGGTGTAGTGGTTAGAGTGCTGGATCTGGGTTCAAATACTAGCTCTGGTGATAGAAGGGAGGGCAGATTCGGGGAAGGGGTATTCAAATGCATGCTGTCTTGGGGTGAGGGGAGGGGAGAGATGGGGAGAAAATTTGGAACTCAAAATCTTGAAGTGAATGTTGAAAACTAAAAAATAAATTAATTAAAAAATACTAGCTCTATCACTTATGACTTGGTGTGACCTTAGGCAAGTCACCTGTATCACTGGACCTCATTTCTTCATCTGTAAAAGGAGAGGGTTGAACCACATAACCTAAAAATTTCCCTCTTAAATCTGTGATCCTATGATATAAACAGAGCCCATCCTTTGGGAGTGTCCAGTCTAAGAGCATCCAATACACCAATTATACATCTGGCTAGCCAACAGAGGGCCACAGGCGTTACTAGTATTTAAGGAAAGGGTGAGGAGCATCTTTTAGTGCACTAAGTACTTTTAGAGTACGTTTTCCTACAGCCATCCATATTCCTCATCCTTCTTAGTGGACCTCACAGAAAAGCTGGGGAGAGATAATTGTTAAATTTTCAGTGTGAGTATTTACTCCTTGGAAATTGGCAAATGCTACAAATCAGGTCTTGATTTAATGTTTTCTTGATTGCCTAGCTGTAAGAAAATGGTGGGGAAAAATGTGAATAATGCAGATCAAATTCAACAGTTTGCGCTATCTCAATTTTCCCCCTTTTGGAGAGCTGGTTGTTAAAAATTTATGAGCACACCACTGGCTAGGACTATTTCAGAAGTTCCCCTGAAGCACCTCAGAACCCACCAGATTTATCTCCTACTCCTCCAAAGGCATGAACCCTCTGCCCCAGGCACACTAATTTCATTCTCACTGTGCCTTTGCATGTGCCTGGACTTTCTACCCCCGCAGGGATGTTCTGTAAAAATCCAAAGTAAAGAAAGATTTGTTATGTACAGCAAGGTTACCCAGTATTCCTATTCTCAGGTGACATTGTGCAATGAAGGATTTGGGGTTAGTTCAGACCCAAATTCAAATCTCTCATCTGAAATTTACTAACTCCTCAGCTTGCAGGCAACTCCTTAAGACTGTAGTCTGCAGAGGAAATGAACTGAATGGGCAGATGAGCTTCTAACTGGAACTCCCTAAACCCACAAAATCACAGGTCTGTTTAAAAAAAGGGGGGTGATAAACACCCTTAATACCTATCTCTTAGAGTTGTGAGAATTAAATGAGAAAATATTTGTTAAGTGTTTTATAGTCCTTAAAGTACTATATAGGGGCAGCTAGGTGGAGCAGTGGATAGAGCACCGGCCTTGAAATCAGGAGGACCTGAATTCAAATCCGGCCTCAGACTAAACACTTGATACTTACTAGCTGTTTGACCCTGGGCAAGTCACTTAACCCCAATTGCCTTAAAAAAAAAGTACTATATAAATGTCAGCTATTTGTAGTATTCATTGCATAAAGCCTAAGATGTTGCTAAAAAGCGTCCTTAGTGAAATCTACAATGAAAGGAAATCAGTCTAACCATTGACATAACAGAACAAAGTGGATGAAAAATGCATATTATCCAGATGATAGCATGTTTACCATTTCATTGTCCATCAGTATATGCATCTTGGAGGCAGCTATGTGGCTCAGTGTTGGGCCTGGAGTCAGGAAGACCTGAGTTCAAATCTAGCCGCAGACATTAACTAGCTGTGTAATCCTGGGCAAGTCACTTAACCTGGTTTGCCTCAGTTTCCTCATCTGTAAAATGAAGTGGAGAAGGAAATGGCAAACCACTCCAGTATCTTTGCCAAGAAAATCCCCATGGACAGTATGGTCCACAGAGTCATAAAGAGTCAGATATGACTGAATAATTGAACAACAACAAATGTGCACCACAAACAGGCACCACAGAGGGTCAATGAATTGGACCCAGAATTCATAGGAGGCAGACTCTTGGTTAGACTGCATCTGGAAAATCTGTAGTGATTTCATTGATCCCCAGGTGCTCCTAAATGTTTAATATCAAAATTCACACAGTAATCCTGTGTGGCTGTGAATCAGAAAACAATGGACCTGGGAAGAATTAAAATTACAAATAACCCTAAAGGCAGTGAAAATAAACAGCTGAGTGTGAAAAGGCTACATTGTTGTCCTATGTGATTTGAGCAACTGCAGGGATGCTTAAGACATTGTCGAAGATATGTACACCTGATGAAGCGGATGGTCTGGTCATGTGGCAGGAATTATAGGAACCAGATGGACAGCCTGGGTAGTACACTGCTGGGACCAGCAAATCAGATCTGTCTAACCACCCAGAATTTGTGAGAAAACACGGTCAAGAAAAAAAATGCACAAGATGGGAAGGAACAAATAGGTTGTGATCATAACTCTTCAAAATACCAAAACCAGGGTGTTAGAAAAGAACAAGGTCATCTCAATCAAATGTTTCCAAAGGTCCTTAGTTTTATGTCCAAGTGAGCCCTACTCTTTAGTTCTTAAATGAAGGCCTCAATAGGCCCTGATTATCATCTAGTATCTCTAGAGAAATGTAAATATATAAAGTTCATAAACAAGAGAAATTCAGGCACTGTCAGCATTTGTGATCAGGCCAAATCACCTTGTTTCAATTCAATTCACTAAAAAAATGCTAATTAAGCATTCAAATGATTCAAAGGTAGGAAATCTTAGTTTACACTAACAAGTTACTAGATACAACAACAACAATGTAAAGAAGACCCTAATGAATGTGTTGGCTAAACTTTCTCTTCTGGCTGATGAATGCTAACCAATCCAAGAACATTCATTAAAAGCCTTACTGAATGTGCCAGTCACTGTACTAAGCACTGGCAAGATAAATCTTTCTCTCTCTCTCTTTTCTTCCTTTCATCCCTATCTTTCCCATCTCTCTCCCTCTTTTTCTCCTTTCCTCTACCATCTATCCATCCATCCATCTATCTATCTATCTATGTATCTATGTACTTATGTATGTATGTATGTATGTATGTATGTGTATGTATGTATCTATCCATCTATCTATCTACCTATCTATCTCTAAATGAAACAATCTGTACTCTTAGGGAGCTTAAGACAGGAACCATTTATATAAATTTCAAAGTTTGCCAACTTCACATATATTATCTCACTTGATCTTCACAGCAAACCTGTGCAATACAAGGAATTATTCTCTCCATTTCACTTATTAAGAAACTGAGACTTAGATTGAGTGATATACCCAGTCATAAAAATTGTATAGAAGTTCTTGACCTTTTTTGCAGCATGGTCCCCTTTGGCAGTCTGATGAAGCCTATGGACCCCTTCTCAGAGTAATGTTTTTAAATGCATAAAATAAATCTATAGAATTATAAAGAAACCTAATTAGATTAAAATATAGTTATCAAAATATCAAAACAAGCTCATAGATCCTAGCTAAGAATCCCTTAATGAATATTAAAGGTGTGATTTAGACCCAGGTTTTACCTGGTTCCAAGCCCAGCACTCTATCTATTAGAATGCTCTGTTCCTAAGCATGTGTATAATATACATATGTCTTGACATCATGGAAAGGTTAGACAGCACAAAAGTAGAAAGGATGAATTATCATTCTAAGATTAGAACTTAGAACATTGGTGATGATGGCCTTTTCAAGAAAAATTTGCTCTTTATTAATGAAAGAATATTTATGTGGAACTAGTTACTTACTCATAAATCTGTTACCTATCAGACCAAATCTTCATTCCTCAACTTGTTATTCAAGACCCTCCATCAGTGTATTCTTTGGCTCTCTCTCCAGCCTCATGTCCTTCTGCTCTCCAACATAGCCTTTCTGTTCCTCACTGTGCCCCACATAACTCAATTAGACAATTCAGGAAATACTCCTTAAGACCGACTAATATGCAAGGAATAACACTGTCTCTGGGAAGGAAGGAATGGGAATAAGCATTTATTAAGCACCTACCATGTGCCAGGCACTGTGCTAAGTACTTTAAAAATATTTCATTTGATCCTCCCAACAACCCTGTGAAGTAGGTATTATTATTCCCATTTTAAAATTGAGGAAACTGAGGCAGAGGTTAAGTGACTTGCCCAGGGTCTGACTTATTATTAATAATGACCTTCAGGTCCCCACAGGAGGATTTTTAAAATGGAGGATGGTGACTAATTTTTCTCTCCTTTCATGTACACAGATAAAAGCAGATGGCCTTACAATGATGAAAAAAGGAAGCATGTCCTGACTCATGACTAGAAGACCTAGAAATAAGTGACAAAATAAGAGGTAAAATTTCATTCCCTAGAGATTCTAAAGAATATCAGCTTCCTAGATGTGTGAGATGGTTTAGGTCCATTCCTGCTGAATGACGTGATCTTTCTAGATCCCTACCAGTTCATTATTTCTCTTTGTCTGCATCCGACACACACTCGGGAATACTAGGTTGGGTAGAATCTGAGGCAGTGGGTGGTGCTTAGGTGGAATTAGTGAGGACAGGTATCTGGGTACCTGGTTGGGGATCTCCTTTGGCAACATCTGTCCTGGTTTAGAGAAGCAGCCTCCACGTACACGTAGCATTGTATAAGCGTGGGGTAGGGGTGGGGGGTTACTGTCTTAATTTAAGTCAACTAGTCCCAGTTTAGACCTGGAACCCTAGCAAGCAGTACTAGCTGTTTTCATGCTAGGTCCTGACTGGAATTCTGGAAAGGGGTGGCATAGTCTATCATAGCTTTCTCCACCAGCTCCCTGAAATGGTTTGGTATTTATTTTGTATATATGTTCTGCATTTATTTACCTATTACATGTTTCATGGTGCCTATACGGTAGAGACTGTCTTATCTTTTTAGTAAAAGTATCTAGCATAGTTCCTGACAACATAGTAGGTTCTTGTTCCATTGCACTGAATTGTATTCATGCTAGACACTTTCAAGGTAATATCCCTCTCCTTCTCCTTCTCCTTTCTCCTGTCTTTCCCTGTCACCCCCTGGTGCCACCTGCCCCCATACCTTAGCTATTCTCTTTCAGAATCAAACGATTCCAGCCAGCTCTGCAAAGCCATCGATGCTCAAGATCCCTGTCACATGAATCTAATGCTTCATATGGTGATTTAATGCTCTGAAACTCACAGGGCCCAGACTTTCTGATTGTTGATGAATGTGAGTTGGCTTCCCAGGGTATGGTTCCAAGAGCACTCATCTTCTTTGTGAAGGTCAAAACATTCCTGTCATGACACAGAATAGATTGAGGTCCCTGTGGTCGATTTATCAAATAGAGCAAATTATTAGCCTTATTGGTATTTCAACATATTATAGTAAGCACTAAAGCAGGGGAGAAAATTCAACCCTGGGAAGATTTAAAAATTATATATAACTGGTCCAAAAAGAAGCAAAAAAAAATTCCACAACACGGAGACTCAAATCATCTTTGGCAAGATGGATTGTACAGGGCCATAGCAGACAAATTTGGCCAAAATGGGGTCATTTTCTGTTGCATTTTCTTAGACTTCTTCCCAAGCAAGCATTTAGAGGAACGTCAATTCAATTCAATTCAATTTATGAGCATTTATTAAATGACTAGTGGCAGGTACTTGAAAGTTTCTGGGGATTTTGTATCCCCAGACAAGAGCAAAACTGCTGTCCCTGCTGTCAAGGAACTTACATTCTACCACTTGTGAGAAACAACACACATACAGATGAGCAAATCCAAACAGAAAATAAATACAAAGTAATCTTTTGCTTTTTTGGGGGGGAGGGGGAGGGAGAACCACTGACTAGGGGAATCAGGAAATGTCTCCTACAGGAGTTAAGTACTCCAATAGATGGAATAGAAGAAGGAAAGTATTCCAACCATGGGAGGCAGTGGGGAATAGTATGTAGTCCAGTTTGGTTGGAATGTAGAGTGTATGAGGCAGAATAAGGTGAGATCCCATTATTCACATTATTAAGGAAATAGTCCAGGTTGGCATTTTACATGCTAGGTAAATGGATAACATTTCATCCCTTAAATATTTGTTAATTTGTCAATCACTTCCTACGTGTCCAGAAAACTGTTCAAAGTACAAACACACAGACGGAAAATTATTCTTGTTTATCATCAAAGTACTCACAATCTAAGCAGAGTATTATACAGAAATAAGTACGACAAATGATAAAATGGGATAGGAACAAAAGAGAGATACAGAAAAAATATGCTCTAAGAAAATTTGAAGGTGATTAAGAAATCATATTCAGCTGAGATCAGGGAAGGCTTCATAGGGAAGGTGGCACTTGAGATGGGCCTTAAAGAAAGAGAAGAAATTAAGAAGAAAGAGTTATAGAGAGAGTGTATTCTAGGTCCAGACATTTTGAAATGGAATCCACAAATTCATGGAAGTGAGAGAGGGCAGAATGAGATCAAGGAATCGAATCTAAGTAAGTTTGGCTAGAACTTCAAGTATGTGAAGGGGAGTGAAATAATGCAGGCAAATAAAGAGTGGAAACTGACTATGACGGGCTGAAGAGTTGGTTTTGTATTCTCTAGGATAATGCCTCAAGGCAAAAGGGGACCCAAGATTTGTAAGCTATCGTCAGACCTGTGCATTAGAAAGATCATTTTGGCAGCTGTAAAGGAACAATTTGAGGGAAGAAGGAGTAGAAGCAAGGAAATAGGAGACTCCTTACAATTGTCTAGGGAACAGGTGAGGGTGGTGGCTGTGTCATGTTTAGAGAGGAAGGAACAAATGCAAGAGATATGGAAGTAGAATCAATGGAGCTTTGCAACTGATTGTGTGTAGCTGATGAGACAGAGGGAAAAGTCAAACATAATTACAAAGTTAACCACCTCAGGTGACTGAAATCTCATATGATGATGCCATTAACAAAAATAGAACCCTGGGGGAGTGTGATGTGTTTTGGGAAGAAAACTATAGGTTTGGTTTCGGATCTATTAGAAGTCTGAGGAGCCAGTGGAGCATCCAGGTGGACGTATTAAGCAGGTAGTAAAAAATGTGGAATTGGAGTTCTGAGGAGAGGATGGGACTGAAGGTATAGATGTGGGAGGTACAAACACAGTGGTCATGGCTGAAGCCATTGGATTAGATGAGATCGTTAAGAGACAAAGCACGGAGAAAGAAGAAAAGAGAGTCCAAGATAGAGTGTAAGAGACCACCCATATTTTGCAGGTGGGAGGGCAAATGAATCATCAAGAGAGACCAAAAGGCAGACAGCTAAGAGGAAAACCAGAAGAAAGGTATCTTCTGGAGACAGGAGTGTCACCAGCATTAAATATGGGAGAAAGGTTAAGGGGGATGAAGAATAATAAAAGGCCAAAAGGATTATGGAAATTAAAAAATCACTAGCCAGATCGAAGGGTACTGGAGAATGATTGTGAGGGAAGCAGGCATAGTAGGGAAAACAATGGCAGAGGACTCTTTCTAGAAGTTTAGTATGGTTTGCTGGGCTTTGAACTCAAAGAAGGCCAAAATGACATCACTACTCTGGGGTCAAGGTACACTATTTCTGACTGTGGCTGATCAGACCAACATGAACTTGGAAGGCTCTACCACAGGTTGGGCATAACTAGTTCATACAAACATTTGGAGTGGAGATGTCTCTAAATTTGCACATCTCACATTTCTTTTGAGCTACTGCATGGAGAATAGAGGAATTTAGTATAGTGAAAGGGGTATAGAGATACTGGCCAGTAACTGGAAGGGATAGCACTTTGATGTGAAAATTTTTATTTATGATAGAGGAGACCTGAGGCAGAGGGGAAGGAGCCAGGAGAGAGAGGAAGAGACTGAAGATGAGAGAGAATGAAAGGAAATCATTGATAGAAGGACCTTAACCATGTTCTGGAAGATAAGAGAGGGAATGGAATTGTGGATAGAAGGGAAAGGTCACTTCATCCTCAGAATAGAAAGGAGAAGAGGATTGCTGAAGATCTAAAGAGGCTTTAAAGTATAGAGTAGAGAGAGGAAAGTATACCTCACAAATGACTTCAATCTTCTCAATAAAATAGGAATAGGATCTCTTTTTACTGCACAGTAAAAGAGATGCTGTGCAGTGAGTATGGGTCCAGATGCAGTTAGATAACACGAATTTGTAGTAGACCCATTAGCACTATTACATGATCTTTTATAGCAACATTCAGAAATTGGGGCAGAGATGGTGGCCAGTGGTGGTTATCAAGGGACGAACAGGATGAAAAAGTAGTAGGAGCTAGGCTTCAGGGCAGGGGAGAGTGCTTTATCGAAGTGGTTGACCACAGGATCCAGTCTATGAGTGGATGAATGAAGCCAGAATAGGGGTGATGGAGAGTGAGAACAAAGAGGTATCTGAAATGCTGATCAGGGCAAAGAACAGATTTGGGAGGATGTAGGTAGTAGGAGAAGTAGAAGGGAGGCTGGTCAGAGAAAGGAATCTCAGACAAAACTTTGGAGATGGAACTATCTTGGATGCTGATGGGCTCTATGGCTGTCACTATGGGAGGCTTAGTAGAATGAAGGTGGAGGCCACCTAAGTTGGGAAGGTTGATGAACTGATAGGACAGGGAGTGTTCAAAGAGGCATCAACATGAATATGAAAATAACCAGGGATGATGGCAGGAGGTGGGACAGAGAAGACTATGAGCTAGGCACTGAAGTCATTGAGGGAGTATCTCAAGATCACAGGATAACAGGACCTCAAATTGGATGGACCTTTAGAGATCACCTTGGCATTTAACCCTTTAAAAAAATGAGGAATTCTGGGCTTAGGGAGGTTAAATGAGTTCTGAGATCACACAAGTAATAAGCTTGTTTCTGCTAACTCGAGGTCAGCAGATGGCAAGGATAGGGATCTGGACTTGGACGGAACAACAAAAAATAACTTCACATTTATATAATGCCTTAAAGTTTACAAAACACTTTCATATGATGGGTCTATCTTATCAGCTTTTGGACAGAGGAAATGGGTGACCCAGAATTCTAGGTTCAACCCCTTGTGTTGAAACAAAATGAGAGTTCTTCTGTGGATTGTCCTGGGCTCTCTTTCATGGATACAGCCGCACAACCTGGGTCTAACATGAAAATTCTCAGCTGCTCTATGTAATGGCATGCTAGCATTATGCAAATTGAACCTTTTGAGGCTCATCTGCCAATAATTATATCTGCAAATCCCTTAGGCATTAAAATTGTGGGACTCTGGAGGATTGTATAGCTTAAAGGATTCCTAATAATCATAGCAATTCCTCGTATTTACATGACCCCCTCTATGCTGAGCACAAAGTGCTTTCGAGATATGATTATAACAGCAATAATATCTTGTATT